TTAAGATGTACACACTCCAGTACAATGCCCACTAATTCACATATTTTGCATCCCCTAAAATGTCATCCTGTGTAAATCAAGCTTCGTAGAGTTATGCAGCTTCATTTCTAACTTTTAAAATACATCTTTCCCTTCAACGTTTCCCTTGGGTTGGGGAGGCAGTCCCCCATGTAGTTAAAAATCCATGTATAATTCTTATGTGCCCCCATATAACTACAAAGTATAAACAGCTGATTAATACATATTGAGCCCCCTCAACCTGTCTCAGCCTCCCAGCATCCTTCCCAGCTGCCATGTGAAGCCACTATGCCAGGGGAGCAGTGGGCCAGGAGCTGCCGTACCAACAACAATAGGGGCCTCAGTGAGTCTGAGACCTACTTTTATCAGGCCATTTCCTGGAGACGAATAGCAGCACAGTATTTATTATTATTATTTTTTTAAAATGTGTATAACCAAGACCATGCTGTTTGGGAGAAGAGTGATGACAAGCTCTCATTCAGCTATAGCAAAATGTTTTTGCCACGATACGTGTATGAGAGGTAACTTTTTGGGGGAGTTTCCATCCTTCCTAACAACATGGCTGAATGGATGGCTGGATGGATAGATGGCTGGAGAGAGAGAGTTGCCACTAAGCATGAATTACTCTTTCACTGCCCATAAAATTATAAAATAAATGATAAACTGATTAAGTACTCACAGCTGCCTGCCTTATGAATTGGCACAGAGTCCCACTCTGGTGGTGGAGAGTCTTTTTCCCCTTCTGAGCTGCTAGTATTCCCCAACTCCTGACCAGAGGCACTGGAGAAGAACTTAGCCATTGATGATGGTCTGCTATCCAACAGCTTTGTGTTCATACCTGCATGAAAACCCAACATACCTAGTCAGTGAGACAAGAGTTCTTCAAACTCACATAGTCAGTAAATTAAAATAAAGTTCCAGATATATTCCTTGGCTAATTTCAGAACTTTCAAAAAAAATACCTTTCGCTTTCTGGGAGTTTCTTGGTTTGAATCCATTTGTGAATGTATGCTGAGCTGAAAGCTTAGAGGAAAAACCTTTGTGCTGCTTAATTTCCAGTGGTGAAGGACATGACATCTCAAGAGAACTAAAACAGAAGTATGCGCACAGATAAATAGAGTTAGTCTTTGTAGCAGTCTAACAAAGATTTTACATAGATAGAAGACAAATAACTTTTTCTGATTTCTTACAGTCTGACATCTGTTACTTTAATTAAGTAGCAGAACAAGCAAATTATTTATCTAATATATTACCTATAAAAAACAGGCCAACAAAATTCTTTATAATTAGAAACTTTGCAATTTTCCCAGTTCATACTACTTATCTTTCTCACTGTGCCCATGTACTACACTTCCTTCTCCTGAACCTTTATCATGGAACAGATCACTACCGCAACCATAGCACATTTCTCTGAGATGACTGGCACTTAATTCTAAAGAAAAAGTGTTGCTGGTAAGTCATTTAGTTAGGAAGATGATGCACTTTAGGCAGTACAATTACTGTTTTGTCTACCTGGATTTCACATCTGTTGGGATCTCTTTCTTGATAACTGGTAGTTTTTTGCTTTTCTGTTTTACTTGCGTTTCATTCTCTTGTTTTTCTGATATTGGTTGTCTTCCCTTTTGCTTTTCTGGTTCCTACAAAAAGCCAATCAAGAAAGACAATGAATAAATAAATGCACCTCTGAAGTTTTTTTTATTTTTAAAAAGAGACAACATTGATAACAATAGACAGACAACCTCTCCCCTCTTTCCCCACATTGCTATCACAAAATTTAATAATGTTAATTCACCAATATGGGTTCATGAATTCAGTCTCACCTGTTGTATTTTGTCAACTTCTAAACAACTTTTCAACTGTAAAGCACATTAGTGTGTGAGTAAAGCACATTAGTATATATGATTCTCTGCTGGCCAGACTATTTAAAAATCTGAGCAGAGCTCTTCCTTGAAATTGCTTAGCTGAAGCCACCACTTCATTTTGCTTGGAATCCTATTTGTGTCTATGAAGTGATCTTGCAACCAATCCTGGCAAATTGCAATTGGCTGATGAGTGCTCGCTCACTGCTGGTTGCATGTCTGGTCATGTGCCCAGCTACGCCTAGTTAATTACCTGCAATTAGCCACAACACTCTTATACTATCTAGTGTCACTAGGAACCCTCTTCAGGACTCCCCTCTATTGGACAGTTCCAATAGTGAAGAGATTGGAGAAACTCATAGATGCCTGTTAATGGGCAGCAGCAGTAGTGGAAGGTGACATTGTCAGAAGATCTTTCACATGCAATGGTAGTGACACTCAAGCTAGTACTGCACAGTAGGCAGCAATAGTAAAATACTGCTGAATATTTGTTTTACTATTTATTCATTTAAAATATTTTTACCCCACCTTTCTCCTTAAGAAGAACCAAAGGCAGCTTACTTCATTAGAAGGCAATATTTAAAGCTAAGAACAGTAAGTATACAAATACCAAAAAAGGATCAAATAAAGACCATACTATAGGACAGTGAACAAAAGCAACACCAAAAATGCTTTCAAAGCAGTAAGGGACAACCAACCACTTAAAGACCTCACTCAGGCAGCCAGTCATTAACAGATTATTTTTGACCTTTAAAATTATGATGAGACAATCCAAAACGAAAGAAGAGGGAAACAAGTGCTGGAAAATGAGACTTCCAGGTTGGAAGGCACCCAATCAGCTACTGCAAAAAGCAGAGGACAAATACAAATAGCTCTTTCATTAATGAAGCAACTAGATTAAAGCTAAAAGAATGTCTAGCAGCCAATGTGCACATAGATGAAAGGAAAGTCTGAAGCTGCACAACAAAAATTGGAACATGGTCAAGAGTAGTATGAACCAAGGTAAACTAGAAACTATAAATCAAAAAACAGAATGTTTAAACATTGCAAGACTTGGTGTGTGAGTGAACTAATGCAGATTGGAATAGGACATTTTCTGTCAGACAATTGCAAAGTCCTTTACTCTGAAAATAACAAAACAAGAAGAAATGGAGTGACTCTGATATTGAGGCAAAATGTTGCAAAGGCAGATAGGGCCTACAGTGCACAATCTGAACAAATAATACCAATCAGAAATCTTGGAAAACCATATCCATCATTCAAGTCTAGGCTCCAGTTATAGATGCTGAAGAAGAAATTGAAAGCTTTTATTCAAGCATCCAGGAGGAAACTGATGACACACCAAAACAAGATAATCATAGGTGACTGCAGTGCAAAAGTAGGAAAGAAAGAAGAATGAAATGCTGTTGGAGAATTTGAATTAGGAGTCAGAAACAAAGCAGGAGAATGACTCACAGAACTCTTTGCAGCCAACAATCTGTTTCTTGGAAATACATACTTTAGGCAACCAGACAACTGAATATATAGACATCACCAGATGGCAGTACAGAAATCAAATAAATTACATAACTGGATGTAGTTGCCAAAACAAGATCGCAAGCAGATAATGGTACTGACCATGAACTGTTAATATCAAAAAGTAGAGTAATGTTTAAAAGGAACGCATGTAGCCAGGATAATATAAAGAGAAGGTTGAAACAATATACAGTACTGAAGAACTACAGTGGTGCCTTGGTTAACGAGCGCTTCGTTTAACGACGAATTCGCTTAGCGATGACTTTTTCGGAGTGTTTTTGCGTTCCGTTTAGCGATGTTTCCTATGGGCGATTTCCGCTTAGCAATTTCGGGACCATGCTTCGCATAATGATTAGGTTTTCGGTCCCCGTTTTGCTTTGCGATGATTTTGACAGCCTGAGGGTTGTGCTTCGCTTGAATGGCTTTTTAACGGTCGCTGTTTTGCAATGCTTCTTCACAGTTTGATTACCCTCCTGCTCCAGGGTGTTTTTCCCTGTTGCTATTTTCTTTCTAATTTAAACTGTCAATACCCAGGATGCATTGGTGTTTTTCCCTGTTGCTATTATCTTTCTAATTTAAACTGTCAATACCCAGGATGCATTGTTGTTTTTCCCTGTTGCTGCTTTCTTTCAAATTTAAACAGTCAATACCCAGGATGCATTGTGCCTTGTGCAGGGAAGGTTTAAAAAACCTTCCCCAATGCATCCTGGCTTTACTTTTGCACGTGGAGTTCCAGGGTTGACTAACTTCGTTTGGAGCAACTTTGGTTTCTTCTGGCAAATTTGGATAGCTGAAGGTAAGTTTACATTTGTTCTCTTGTGTGGGTGGTGGGTTTTATTGCACAAGTCTTACAGATATTTTTTGTTTACATTGCAGGGGTTTTTTGTGCATGCCTTTTAAAAGTTTAAAAATTTTTACTGTACTGTATTTTTATTTTCTTATTTTGGGGTAAATTGCAGGGGGGGTTGTGCATGCCTTATAAAAGTTGGGATTTAAAGTTTAAAACTGCCTTTTTAGATTTTTTTTCCTGGGAGAATTTGGATCTGCTATTGCATTGGTTCTGTGTGGGGGAAAAGTGCAGAAATGTGATTTAAAATTTAGGGTACCCTACAGAGGAAACTTAGGGGATACAGTAGCTTCTGTTGTGGGTGTTTGAATGCAAAAGTCTGATGCCAAGTTTGGTTTTTTTTTTTTTAAACTGTAGGCATCCTTTCTGTCGTGTGGTGTGGCCTTTGGTGGGTGGACTTTTCCAGAACATCTGGGACAGCAAAAGTTAGGTCTGCATTTCTTCTCCTGTGTTTGGGGGGGGGGGGGAGGTAATGCCAAGTTTTATTTTAGGCATTATCTTTTTGGTGAGGTTGGTGTGGTGTGGTCTTCAGTGATGTTGGCGTTTTCCATAACTTTTTGGAGAGCAAAAGGTAGGTAGGTCTGCATTTGTTCTCCTTTTTTTGGTGGTGGTGGTGGGGAAGGTTAGGCCAAGTTTAATTTCTTTTTCTTTGGTTAGGCACCCTCCTGCGGTTCAAGTGGTGTGGCCTGCGGTGTAGTTTGCTGCTTCAGGGACATCTGGAGGTAGGTCTTCTTCTGTGTTTTCTTCTTCTTACCTTGTGTTGGGGGGGGGTTGTTATGCTAAGTCTAATTTCTTTCTAAATTTCTTTGGTCAGGCATCCTCCTGTGACGTGGCATGGTGTGGCCTGCAGTATAGTTCTCCATAGCTTCTGGGACAGGAAGAGGTAGGTCTGAATTTGCCACGGATGCAGAGCAGGGGGTCACCAGGATCGCAAAGAACCAGCCAGCTGTCCTGGAGGAGGTGGAGAAGCTCCTTGTCATCTGGATGCAGGAGAAGGAGTGTGCAGGGGACACAGTGACTGAGGCTGTCATCTGTGAGAAGGCGAGGGCTATGTATGCAGAGCTCATGGAGCAACAGCCTGGAACCTCAGCTGAGCCAGAAGAGTTCAAGGCAAGCAGAGGCTGGTTTGAACACTTCAAAACCAGATCCAGCATCCACAGCATGGTGAGGCACGGAGAGGCTGCCAGCTCCGATGTTTCTGCGGCTGAGACTTTGCCGTGGAGTTCCTGGAGGTCGTGACTACACAGGGCTACCTTCCACAGCAGGTCTTCAACTGTGACGAGACTGGCCTGTTTTGAAAGAGGATGCCCAAAAGGACCTTCCTGACGCAAGAGGACAGCAAGCTGCCTGGCCACAAGCCCATAAAGGACCGTCTCACCCTCCTCTTCTG